TTCTGAAGAAGGGTCTAGGGCCCGAAACGTCAGCCTTCCTGCTCCTCTGATGCTGCTTGGCCTGCTGTGTTCATCCAGCTCTACACCTTGTTATCTCAGATTCTCCAGCATCTGCAGTTCCTACTATCTCTGAAACGATTGCAAAGCAATTTCTTTTTTAAAATCAAACTAGAATTGTGAGCAGAAATGTGTTAACTTTATTGCCAAATATGCACATCTTACATTAGAGCTCCTTTGAAGACAAGTTTAGCTTTCCTCATTTTTCTAGTCACTAGCAGTTCTGTCCCAATTTCTGTGTGGTCCAGTAAGATTTTAAAACAAGGACAGCTGCAAAGAAAACAAATAATTTACAGTGAGACAAAAGAAGAACTGGTGTTTTTTCTCTCAACCTGCAATCCGGAATAAATTTTAATATCTAGAATCCAGTTTGGCAATATTCCTCATTGTATCAATTAGGTTAAATATCTGCAGTCACAGCCAATGTAACTACAAGCATTGGTCAGTCAATCTACATAACAATTTACAGCTATTTCATATTTCTTGCCAGAATAAAAGGAAAATGTACTACTACATCCATGCAAACAGAGTTTATCAGAATAAAAAATAACCTATGGAAGTTTCAAGTGAATAACAAGGATGTACAGTCATACAGCACGGAAACGGACCCTTCAGTCCAACCAGTCCATGCCAAACATAATCCCAAACTAAACTAGTCCCACCTGCCTGCTCCTGGCCCATATCCCTCCAAACCTTTCCTAGTTATATATCCAAATGGATTTTAACTGTTGCAATTGTACCCGCATTCACCACTTCAGTTTTTTTCCTTTATTCCTTCACAGGATGAAGGTGTCCCTGGCTAGGCCAGCATTTATTGCCCATCCCTAATTGCCCAGAGGGTAGTTAAGAGTCAACCACATTGCTGTGGGTCTGCAGTCACATGTAGGCCAGACCAGGTAAGGATGACAGTTTCCTTCCCTGAAGGACATTAGTGAACCAGATGGGTTTTTCCGACAACTGGTCATTATTAGACTCTTACTTCCAGATATTTATTGAATTCAAATTCCACCTGCTGTCATGGCAGGATTTGAACCCAGATCCCCAGTGAAAAAAGTCCTTGCCTATCCAGCCTTTCCTTATAACTTAAACCTTCCGTACCAAGCAACATCCTGGTAAATCTCTTCTGAACCCTCTCCAGCTTGATAATATCCTTCCTATAACTGGGTGACCAGAAGTTTCATGTTTATGGAATTGTATGTTGCAGTTAAATATTTAACTACAACATAGTACACTTCTAGGAAGCTTCATTTTATGAGAATGTGAATTGCTACTATAACTGCTGTGCCTTTTCTACTTGAAAGAATGCAGTGATTCAAAAACCTTGCATAAAGTTAATCAATAAGATCAGCCAATTGATATTTACAGAATACCTCTAATAGTGAAAAAAAACCAGCTGCTTTTTAAGTGTGCATCTCACCATTTTGGAAGCGTTGAGCTTGCAAGCCTCAGCAATTCTGAGTATCATACTAGTCATTAATAGTTTCACACTACCATAAAAAGCTTAGAGTAAAAGACACCATATTCTGTCAGACCTCTTCCAGTTATGGTGTGGGATTATCTGCAGAACTGACCAGTTTGTTGCCTACAAAGGCAAAGAAATCACAACTACAAGGATCAAAATCCACTTTCCTCACTGACCATCAGTAGCATGAGGGGCAACACAATTTATACACCTGCAGATTTCCCTCAAACAGGGATTATAAATCCCATCTGTGCTGTGGCTGCAGCAGGAATTTTATCATTACAGCATGAAGTTGGAAGCATAATAATATTGAAAGCCTAGCAATGCTCTGCTAAAGTGCCCTCAAGTGAATGTGGGGGGCATCCCCAGTGTACCATTCTGATTACACAAAGCTGAGCTGGTGACCTCATGTCCTTTCCTTGACCCCTCCGTCTCATTTTGGGGAATAACCTGTCCACTGCCACCCACTACAAAGCCACCGACTCCCATAGCTACCTTCACTGTAACTCTTCACAGCCCATGTCCTGGGAGGATTCTATCCTATTCTTCCAGTTCCTTCACCTACACCATATCTTTCGGATGATGCCACCTTCCAAAACAGCAACACTGACATGGCTTCCTTCTTCCATAAACGTGGTTTCCTATCCACTGTGGTTGACAGGGCCCTCAACCGCATCTGACCCATCACCTGTGCCTTCACCCTAGCCCCTCCCTATCCCTCCCAACAGTGCGATCAGGTAACTCTTGTCCTCCCTTGTCATCCCACCAGCCTCTGCATTCAAAGGATCATCTTCCACCACATCAGACAACTCCAGCAGAACACCACTACCGAACACATCTAGCTCTCGCTCCCCATCTGCATTTTGCAGGGACCATTCCCTCTAGGACACTAGGCCATTCCTTGACCACCAACACCACCATGCCTTCCCATGTAACTGCCGAAAATGCAATACTTGCTCCTTCACCTCCTCCCTGCTCACCATCCAAGGTGGAAACAGTCTTTCCAGATGAAGCAGCATTTCAATTTTACCCGCTCCAATCTGGTGTATTGTATTCATTGCACCCAATGTGGCCTACTCTACATTGCAGAAACCAAATGCAGACTGCGTGACCACTTCGCAGAACACCTCCGGTCCATGTGCAAGCACGACCCCAACCTTCCTGTAACCGGTCATCATTTTAACAGTGTCCTGCTCATATATACCCACTTGTCTGTCCTCAACTTGCTGCAGTACTCCAGTGAATCACAGCACAAACTGGAAGAACAGCATCTTATCTTCAGATTGGGTACTTTACAACCTTCTGGATTTAATAATGAGTTCAACACCTTTAGACTATGAACTCACTCCTATTCCTTCTCTTTCTTTTGGCTTTACTTGTTGCCTTCTGTCACCATGCTTCCACCACCTCACCCTCCAACTCCATTGTTACAGGCTGTCCTTTCCAGTTTGGCAGTTAGACGCACCATTGTTCTGCCATTTTCACATTCTGATCTCTTAATCTGCACTGTCAGCTGCCTTTCTTCCCCAGCACTCCATCCTGCCACTGTTGCATAAATTCGGCCCCTTCCATACTTTACATCAGCTCTGAAGAATCATCCAGACTCACGATCTTAGCTTGCTCTCTCTCCATGGATGCTGCCTGACCACTGATTTCCAACTTTTTATTTTTAATTCATGGCTTCCTAGTTGATCTTGGAGACCCACACCATTCTGACAAGTGACTGGATTCAATTTTAACACTCTCTCTCTCTTCCCCACCGCACCAACAGATACTGCCAGACATGCTGAGTTTCTCCAGCAATTTATTTCAGTTTGTATTTTGATTCTATTCCCACTCAGGTCATCATCTAACCTTCCATCCTGTTAGCCTACATTTGTAAACAGTTCGCTCTCTCCTTAAGGTATTGTGTTTTTTCCTTTTAAATCCATCACTCCTCCTATCCTCAACTCCTTTGTGTGAAAAACCTGCCTCACACATCTCTTAGAATGAGTGGGAATGTAAAAAAAAAAGTAGCAATTAGCTTGGATACTAGACCACGGGGAGGCAATGGCCTAGTGGTATTATTGCTAGACTATTAATTTAGAAACTCAGTTAATGCGCTGAGGATCAGGGTTCAAATCCTGGCATGGCAGATGGTGGAATTTGAATTCAGGGTCTATAACGATGACCATGAAAACAGTGATGCACCCTTGGTGACCATAATATAATTGATTTTTACAGTTTCACAAAAGGAGGAGTCAGAGACAATTTTCTATTTAAATAAAGGCAATTAGAAAGGGTATGAAAGCAAAAGCTGGCCAAAATTAATTTGCAAATTATGTTAAATGAATGGTCAATGAAAATTGCAACACAAAGCAATGGTAGATATTTAAAGGTACAATTTCAGAACATATAGAATTGGTATATTTCAATGAACAAGAAAAATTCTAAGGGCAGATTCACCATCCAGTAATTAATTAGAAATGTTAAAGATGGCATCAAACTAAAAACATAACTGTGCAAAGTCAGGTGACAGGTCAGAAGATTGGAAAAAATATTAAACATTGACAGAAAGAAGTCAAAAATAATAATAAAGGCAAAATTAGAATACAAGAGAAAGCTTCTGAAGAAAACTCATGAGGGACTCGATGCATTTGATGCACTGTTAGTAATCTTTCAGGAATCCTTACATTCTAGAAAAGTCCCAGCAGTCCAAGAAAACTGTCATAGAGCTGTACAGCATGGAAACAAACACTTCAGTCCAACTCTTCCATGCCAACCAGGCATCCTATGTAAATCAGTCCCATGTATCATCATTTGGCCCATGTCCCTCTAAACCCTTTCTATTCATGTACCCATCCAGATGCCTTTTAAATTTTTTAATTTTACCAGATTCTACGACATCCTCCAGCAGCTCATTCCATACACACATCACCTGCTGCATGAAAAAGATGCCCAGTTAGGTCCCTTTTATATCTTTTCATTCCCACCTTAAATCTCTGGTTTAGTACGCGTGGACTATTTTCCATGTCCTTCATGATTTTATAGGGTGAATAGTCAAGATCATTTTCCAAGGGAGCCCAATGAGGGACGTGGATAAGTATCTATAAAAGTCACCCCTCAGCCTCTGACACTCCAGGGAAAATCGTCCACGCCTACTAAACCTCTCCCGATAGCTCAAACCCTCCAACCTCAGCAACATCCTTGTAAATCTTTTCTGCACCCTATCAAGTTTAGAAACATCTTTCCTATAGCAGGGAGACCAGAATTAAATGCAGTATTTCAAAAACATATCCTGTACAGCCACAACATGACCTCGCAACTCCTACAATCAATGCTCTAACCAATAAAGACAAGCGTACCAAATGCCTTCTTCACTGCCCAGTATGCTTGTGATTTCACCTTCAAGGAACTTTGAATCTGCACCCCAAGGTCTTTGTTCAGCAACACTCCCCAAGACCCTACCAGTAACTGGCAAATCAAGGCAGAATTTAACCTTACCAAAATGCAACACTTCTCATTTATCCAAATTAAACTCCATCTGCCATTCCTTAGCGCAGCTGATCAAGGTCCTGTTGTTAATGTAATATTTTTGTTTAAAAAAGGAAACAGAAACAGGTAACAAATGTATGCCAGTTAGCTTAACATCTGTTACTGGGGAAAGCATGAGTTTTATCATAAAACGATGTTATATCACAACATTTAGAAATAAATATGATCGAAGATTCAGCATAGCTTCATGAAGATGAAATCAGGCCTGTCAAACTTACTAAAATTCTGAGCTAAAAGCAGGATAAAGAGGAAAACAAAATGGACACAAAATGTG